AGTGTGACCCCAGAGTCCCATATTTTCCTTAAAAAAAAAAGTATTAAAAATGCAAGTTTTTTGTTGCGAAAATTTTATTGCAATAGTCAGGCAATCAATACAGAAAAAACTGTAACTAAAATTTTCCAGAATTTAAAAAAGTTTCTTAGAGAATGACCCCAAATGACTTAAATCTGGGCAGATGGGCTATTCTGCTGTTTGTATTTACTAAAACAACTAATTTGGGAGACTCGTGGAATAAGGGCATTAGAACACATTAATTGAGAGAGAAGCAGTAGAGTTATAAAAACAGGTATATAGGATTAGTTAGTCAGAGTGGATGGTAAAGCTCTAAAAGTATGGGAAGCAGTAACTTTGCTTATTAAGAATTGGGCCGGGGATTTAGCTCAGTGGTTTCGCTGCCTGCTTCACAAGCCCAAGGACCTGAGTTCGATCCCTGGTACCAAAAAAAAAAAAAGAATTTGAGAAAATTCAGTGTTATGAGTACTTATTCTTAGAGCTAATTATCAGTTCATTCAGCAAATATTGCTGGATTCCCACTGGTGTGCCTGATAGTGGGATATGTGGTGGGCATGCTGTTGTGAATACATCACAGCCCTTCCCTCATAGCATTCTATTTTTGGAAGCAGACAGTGAGCAGTAAATATGGCAGGTCTTTACATGAACACCCTGGTGTTTAGGAGGGAGAGGTGTCAGATTAGATAGCGTAATCCAGGAAAGCCTCTTCAAAAAGTACTTTATGTAGATTTTTGGTCCCTTCTGTGTCATTGATTGCTCGGGTAATCCTCAGCAAGGAGCTTTAACTGCCTGGTTTGAATTCCAGCTCATCTTGGGCATGGGACTTTAATTTCACTATACTTCAGTTTTGTCATCTATAAATTAGGTATTTTGGTAGCATTTACTTCATATCATTATTGTGAAATTTAAATGTGTTTTGGATATAAAATGGTTAGAACACTGCCTAGCACATGCTAAGTACTCAGTAAATTCTGGCTGTAATAATATGAACAATTACAGTGGTACCTCATTTCATGAACACTTTTGTTTGCAAACAGTTTGGTTCACAAAATTTGGCAAAATTTTGGTTTTGTTTGCAAACTTTGCATCCAGCAACAAACACGACTACAGCCATCTTTCCCACACAAATACAAATGTAGCCATCTTCCAAAATCATAGAACAAATTAAGTTTGTGAAGTAAGGTTCCACTGTATTTGTTTTATACTGTCGCTGTTCCCTAGAACAGTGTCAGGCATATGACAGGTTCTCACCTATTTGCTCTATGAATAAAAGAGTAAATGAATGAACTGATAAAATGGCATTCCTTTGCCTTTAAACCATGCTCCTGTGCCTCTTGTCTACTTCAGCTCTTCCATCCATTAATGTGGGGGATGAGATCCTTGTACTATTCCTGAGATTAGATCTGGCCTGCTAGTTCTTTCATAGTCATATTCATATTCTCCCCCCACCCTGGGCCTTTGAGCTGAGTTACATCCCAACCCTTTTTATTTTGAGACACTGAGTTGCCCAGGTGGAACTTGAACTTGCAGCCTCCCAAGTACTGACATTACAGCTGTGTGCCACCATTGGCTAGACCTGCTTGTTTTCTTGCCCAGGGTGTGCTAACTTTTGAATCATCCTGCGTTCTAGTGATGAAAGGGTTCTAGCCAACGTTGGCACACTGATTCTTCTCTTAGCACTCCGGCTCCCAGCTTAGGCTTGTGCTTCTGGTGGGAGGCCTTGGACAGTACTTGCATGCCAGTAACAAGGCAGCTCTGACTACAGTGCCACTTTCTTTTTACATGCTCTGTGAATTTTGGTTATTTATTTGACTTAGGTGTTCTTTTCTGTTTTCTTGTAATATGGTGGGGTTTTCTGATCAGAGTTTATTAGGAAATAGGGAGAGTAACACAGAAGGTTAAGATTTAAATAGTCCCACGATGGGCTCTGAGTAGTTGCACCCCTTCCCTGCTTTTGCTGCCACTACCTGTTGCCTGGATCTGGTCTCTTAGATTAGACCAGCTATCTGCACCTTCCATTCTCCCTGAGATACAGAGGCAGAAAGGAAGTGTGAAAATGAAGGTCAAATGTGGTTATAATATTAATAGGAATGTAGATTGTGAATACAGATTGAAAATCTGTGGCTGCAGATAAAGAAAAAAACTATCTTAGTTGAAATTTAGATAGTATCTCCGTTTTTAAGAGGAGAAAATTGAAGCACATTAGCCAGAAGGTCACAGACTGTGTTGGATGGGGACCAGAACTTAGTTATACATTTCCAGTAGGTAAAAGTATTCAATTTTTCACCAGAGTATTAGATTTGCATTTGAAATTCATTTGTAGTGGAATGAGATCATCTAAGACTATAATATTAGGGAACATGAGGTATGTAGAAACATTGCTTTTGGAATTGCCAAGAATATACAAATAAAATTTTCGTTTGTTGATGTTGAAAATAAAATTTTGATTTTCCCTTTTTCTATCTAAGCAGTAGTTGGAGCAGAGCTAGTTGCTGAAAGTGGTCATAAATTAGTAGATTGTGCAAGCATCAAAGAGAGGCACTTAGTGTCTAACTAGCTATTTGGCAGCTTGGGTGGACATAGTCCATTAGATTGCACTGGCCACTGTCAAGCTCACAGAGGGGATTTAACACTGCTCCGTGGTCGTAGGACCCATTGTCGACATTTATCGTACAGGGTCGCAGATAAGCAGCACGAGAGAAGTTCATTCTCTTTATCAAGTTTTAAGGTGTAAAGTTCTGTTTCTGTATAATTTCCACTGGAACGGATAAAGAAAACCCTTCTGCTTCCCAGGATTGTTGTGAGGATTGAATGATTCATGTTGCAATCTATGAAGTGCTATATTCTGCTTATAGGGAACCCCATTTAAAAACTTGGTTTAATACTTAAAGCACGATCACAAAGACAGTAAAAACGAGAGGACTTTTTAAATTTCCATGCATTGTTTCAATAGTATTTGCTCATTTTAAAAATTATGATTGTATATATTTACATTGTACAATATGATGTTTTGAAATGTGTATGTGTTGTGAAATGGTTAAGTCACACTAACACAGCCATCATCTCATATACTTATCATTTTTAATTTGTGCTTGTTAATAGCAGTTATTGTGTCTCCTTCTGGGAACTAATATGTACTATTACGTGTCATTTGATTCTAGGGGGCTCGAGTTGGTAGAATAGATGCTTTTGTTCAGAGTTTGGACAAAAATTTTATGGTTCCAGTAGGTGGCGCTATAATTGCTGGCTTTAATGATTCCTTCATTCAGGAAATCAGCAAAATGTATCCAGGTAAATAAATTATTTTTCAGAAAAAAATAACAAAGACCCATTTGTACACAGGCTACCATGATGAATTGCAATTTCTAAAGCTTCCTCTACACCCTCCTCAGTGTAACCTGCCTCCTTATTTCAGGAAGAGCATCGGCCTCCCCTTCTTTAGATGTCCTTATTACCTTGCTATCACTTGGATCAAATGGTTATAAGAAACTGTTAAAAGAAAGAAAGGTAAGCATTCTCCTTCTTTTAGAATAATACTTCTGACTAGAACAGTGTTCCAAAAGACTGGTATTTTTGCCTCTTAGTTCGTCACAATGGGATTTTAGTTATCTGGTATGATCTAGGAAACTTTCTCAGATTTAAAATCACTGTAGGTGATTTATTTTCTTTCCTCCCTCCCTCCCTTCCTTTCATGCTGGGGATTAAACCCAGGGCCTTCACACTGAACTACATTCCCAGGCCTTTTTTAGTTTTTGTTTTGAGATGGTCTCACTAAGTTGCTAGGTTGCCCAGGCTGGGTTTAAACTTGTGATCCCTCTGCGTTAGCTTCCCTGAGTCCTGGGGTTAACAGGTGTGTGCTACCATACCTGACCTCTGTAGGTGATTTTTGACTAGTTGTCACTTTAAGGACTCATGAAAGACAGACAGATGGGTCTTCTTTTTAGTTTTCGGAAGCCTGAAGGTAAGTTGTTTAGGTGTGGGATATCAGTCACAGGAAGAGGAACCAGGCCAGAAGCTGGCCACCTTCTCATACTCATCTAATACATTACTACCTGGCCATCGTTAGAATCTAAACTCATTGTTTATGTTGACTCCGAAAAGAAAAGTTATGTTTAAAAACTTTGTCTCTAACACTGAAAACTAGCTTAATTCAAGACAATTCCAAAATTATGCCAGTTTTGTCAGGTCAGATTAATGTGTTTTGTTCTTATCTTAGAAAGCTAGAGACTTCTGTATGTATATAACTTTCTAACACTTATTAGCAGTTATAGGCCCTTTAATAGTACTTTACATATTTTAAACCATATATATCCTCTGGCAGATGTATGAGTAATACATAACAGAAATTTAAAATGTTTGTGCCTTTTGCTACCCCAACCATCTTTCTCCTACTAATTCAGTCCATGGGCAACTAGTTGTTTACTTTTTCTCACAGGGACATTTCTTGAGATTTATGTGATAGAGGAAAAGATACTCAATAGTTGTTAGGGAGATACAAATTAAAACCACTGTGAGATACACTACACACCTGTTAGAATGGCTAGTGTAAAATAAACCTGACAATACTCAATGCTAGCAAAGATCTCAAGTGAGTAAAACTTAGACCTTGCCGGTAGGAATGCAAAATGGTTCAGCAACTTTGGAAAACACTTTGGCAGTTCTCGTTAAGTTCAGCATATACTAATCATATAAATCAGCCATCCTACTCTTAGCTATTTACTCAAGAGAAATGGAAGTTTTTGTCTATATGAAAATCTATGCATGAATGTTTGTAGTGATTCTGTTCATAATTGCCTAAACCTGGAAACAACCCAGATATCTTTCATTTGATGAACAGATAAACAAGCTGTGGTATATCCATAGTCAGCAATAAAAAGGAATGCACTATTGACATATGCAACAAAATAATGACTCTGAAATACCTTACGATAAAAGGACAAAGCCAGACTCAAAAGACTGTGTATTACGGTTTTATTTATATGCTGTCCCAGAGAAGGCAAAAAATAGAGGCCAGAGAATGGACCAGTGTTGCCAGAAACTAGGGGTGTGGGAAGGGACTTTTGGGTATGATGAAGTATCTTGTATATTAAGAGTAAAAGTCGGGCCAGGGATATAGCTCAGTGGTTCTGCAGCCTGCCTTGCAAGCGCAAGGACTCGAGTTCGATCCCCTGTACCAAAAAAAAAAAAAAGAGTGAAAGTGATTTCATGGCCGAATATGTGTGCCAAAATTCATAGACATGGACCTGAAAAGGGCACACCTGAAATTTTATTTTGTGCAAATTATACCTCAGGAAACTAAGAAAACTAGTCTTGAAAACTAAAAAGTAACATCGTGGCCACAGATTGTAGCCAAAGGAAGCAGACCTTTCAGGGAGTTTCAGCCGTGTCAGATGGTGACTGTTTGTGTGGACCACCTGTCATCTGTCTGGCTCAGTCAGTGGGTCTTAGCTCTACTGTGACTTCACCTCGGAAAGTTACTTGAACTTGCAGATTTGATTTCACTATCCATGAAAGAAACAACTTCTATCTGATTCTACTTCTGTTTCTAAAAGACTCTAGAATATTTATTAAAATTCTAGACTATTGGGCCAGAGATTTAGCTTAGTGGTGCCATTACCTGCCTCGTAAGTGCAAGATCCTGAGTTCGATCCCTGGTACCCCCCCCCTCCCAAAAAATTCTAGAATATTTATCTAAATATTTATTAAAAGAGTTACTTTCTGGGCTTTGGTCATTAAAATCATAGGAATTGGTTTGTACTTTTTAGTAAGCCATATTGGTAATTTGGAGATCTTTTAAGATAATGGCCTTTGCAGTTTCACAGAGCCCCTCATCCGTAACTGACCCTGTCAGAGTTTGCTTGAGGGTAAAGAGAGTTGTGGAAACGAGAGAAAAGGGGGTCGGAGATGATGTGGAGGTAGTGATGTGGGAATCACTCTGTGAACACAGTAGGTAGGAGCCTTGCTGGGGGATAGTTGAATTGACTTGAAGAAGGCCAAGGGCGCGTACACCATGATGGTAAAAAGCTTTCAGGCAGAAAGCTGGAGACAGGACCTACGACAGATGTGTGCCCTGTGAGGAGCAGCGAGGAGACCCATATGGCTGGAGCAGGTGAGCAAGGAGAGCTGTGGGAGTTGAGGTCAGGAGGGTCCTGCGGGTGGGCAGATCGTTAGAACCTTCTAGGCCATAATACGATCTTTGCTTCATAGTCTTAGTAAAGTGGGGCCTTTGAAGGATTGCTTTTTATTTATTTATTTATTTAGTGGTACTGAGGGATTGCTTTTCATTTGTTTGTTTGTTTCCAGTGCTGGGGTGAAACCCAGGGCTTTGCATATGCCAGGCAAGAGCTCTACCCCTAAGCCACACCCCCACTCCATTGAGGGGTTTTGAATTGAGTAACATTATTGGACATATTTTCAAGGGTCACTCTGGTCGCTGGTTTGAGAATAAATTAGGGTGGCAAGGGTAACAACTGGGATACTCCTTGGGAGGCTGTCACAGTAGTTCAGAAGTGAGTTTTAGCTTGGAGCTGGGTGGTGGCAATGATGATGAGAAATGGTTAGATTCTAGGTGTTTCTTTTTTTAAAGATTAAGCCAACAAGAGTTCCTGATGGGTATGTTCTGTAAGAGAAGAAGAGAAGGCAGGAGGATGGAAGAGCCATTAACTATGAGGGAAGCCTGTGGACTTCAGGGAGCACCAGGAGTCCAGGGGTGGGTAAAAGTGAATTTGAGATAGCCCTGGAGAGCAAGATGGTGAGGTCAGGTAGAGAGTGCATCTGTGCTTGCGTGTTGTCTGAAGACGCTGTGCTGGGCTGGAGGTGAAATTTTGGGAGTTGGCCAGAGACTAGGTTTGATTGCAAAAGAGTGAATCTGCCCAGAACAGAACCACAAGGACTGAGCTCCAGGGTGCTGTAATATTAAGAGGTGTGGGAAGAGAAGAAGGGCCAGCAAAGGAGACTGAGAAGGAGTGGTTAAGCAGCAGGAAAACCAGGTGTGGAGTTCTGGAAGCCAGGTGAAGAATTATACTGAGGAGGAGCGGATGCTCAACATACCCAGCGGCACTCATAGATCAAAGAGGGCAGGATTAAGGTTTGACCATTAGTTAGAAAAGTTTGTGAGAACTCATTCTCAATGTAGCCTTTAAGTGAGGTTTGTTTTTTCTACAGAAATACCTGTATGAGCATATACATTTATGTACATACTAAATATTCCTAATACTGAGCATTAAAAGGGTAGACAGTGAATGTTTAAGTTTTTAAAAAATTATTACAATAAAAGACACATTGCCACTAATCCCCCTCAGAATATCCCCTCTTGTTTCTAACACACTTATGCCATCATTATTGTCACTTTCTGAAGCAGTTCTGGAAGCCCTCTTTTGTGAGTGTCTTTACTGGGGCTGATCAGAAATTTAGTGAATGCTGCTGCCCAGTGCCTTCTAAAGGAAAGGCAGGCTTGTAAAAACATGGTGTGTCCTCAACCACTTTATTCACTGGATCTGGCACCATGCAATTGCTGGCTCTTCCCCACAGTCAAAATGATCATGAAAGATAAACGTTTTGAATAGGTCAGGACATTGAAGTAGCTGTGATGGCACAACTAACCAGTTAGGTATTTTTGTGTCACACCACATATGTGGTCATCATTTTTCTAACCACATTGTCATGTATTCATTTAGTCCTTATAACATCCCTGTGAGGTTTTATTGTCATCCTCATTTTCACAGGAAATGGAGGGACAGAGAGGTAACATACAAAGTACGTTGTGGAGCATAGGTTGAAATCTAGGTAATTTGGCCTCTCACCCCTGGCTTAACCTCTAGACTCTACTACCTTTTTCTAGTATAATTAAGTAGTCTAGCCCGGTAGCTGTGTAGCTATAACTCTGAAGACTTAAGTCTCCCAATATCTAGAGGAGGCAAAAACAATGAATAAATTTAGCTACTCCCATCAAAAAGTCAGTTATATTTTAGAATGTTCTTTGTGCAGAGTCCTCATTGTCTCCAGATTGTCCTGGGGGAATCTGTCAGTCACAGTGTCCCTTTTCCTCTTTTTGTCTGGCTTATTTTTTTGAGACAGGGTTTCTCTGTGCAGTTCAGGCTGGCCTTGAATTCACTATGTAGCAAGGTGGCCTCGAATTCACAACAATCCCGCTGTCTCAGCCTCTTGAGTGCTGTGATTACAGGCATGTGCCACCAGGCCCAGCTCCCCGTCCCTCATAGGTTTGGGGGTATGGCGTGGCTACCCTGGTTCACAGGTAGGCATGTGGAAGTAAAGGCCTTCTAGTAGTTTTTCTAGATCTTTTAAAGACAGAGGGCCTTTCGCTTTGAAGATAGTAAGATGTAAAGGTGGAATCTTATGACCATCAGATGTCTTATTCCTGGCTGTGCAGAGAGACTTCCTGAGACTAGGGAATATTGGAAGGAAAACAGACTGAGTATTTGAAACTCTGGATCCACCCATACTTACTCGTAGACAGAGCTGTTAGCTGAACCAATAGACTACCTTTC